AAAAGGCCATGACTAGCAATAAAGATCTGCACGCTCAGTGGGTTAAAGAAAATGAAGAAGTAGACCTGAAAATCGCTGAGTTGGAGCGGGATCTGATAGACGAGTGCGCCAAGACAGTGGCAGAGAAGGCGGGGCTGGAGAAGGAGTTGGAGGAAGAAAAGACCAAGTCAGCCTCTGAGAGGGCAGCATACCCCGACTTGTGTGTCGCAGCAGTAGAGCAGTTCAAGGGGTTTGCTGACTTCCAGATGGCTGTCAATACCGCGATCGCCCACAACTTGGCAAGAGAGGGATCTAGGGGGGCTGGTTCGTCGGGAGCAACCACTGGGAGCAGGAGTGAAGAAGAAGTGATCCAGAGCTTCCAGCGGTCAGACTTCTACAAACATGAGATGGCCGAGTTCTGGGACAGCGGCTAGAAGATGTTCAAACGCAAAGTAGAAGAGCTGTTCCTAGACTTGGACTTCAACATTGTTAGAATAGAGGAAGACGACGTGGCCCAGACCCCCTTAGACAAAGGTGTGAACGAAGAAGACCTTTTTTCGAGTGAAGAAGATTGATGAAATGTAAATTTTGGCACTTTGTGTATAAATGGAATTTTTCTTGGTGTTTTGAGTGTTGTTGTTGTTGTTGTTGTTGTTTTTTTTTTTTTTTCAGTAAACTTATGTATAAGTTTGTGGATAAATAAAATTATGAGTTGTGTTTGTCACACTGTTGTCTTTATTTTTGTAAATCTGAAATGAATGAGAATGCTTATTCAAATGAGGCTTGACTTGTAAGGAAACAGGCGGACTTGTAAAAGTTGATAAGTAGGGAAACAATCTGACTTGTAAGGGAACCACAATGCAAAGTGGAGTTTAAAATGTAAGAATGTCAAAAAATGTGAATTTTCAAATCACGACCCAGTAGGGAGCCAGTCTGGCGTGTAAGGGTCCCAAAAAATGAAGTTTTAAATCACGCTGTAAGGGTGTTGGGAGGTTTAAAAACATGGACCTAGAATTTGACTAAGGCAACTATACCACAATCATGAAATTACAAGAGTGGCCTTGGCCGAGCTCGTCATTCGTGCTTAATTTGGGTTGAACCATGATTAACTTGGCCGAGCTCTTCATTCTGGCTGAGGCCTTTCATGCTCAGTCTGGCTGATGCTTTTCATGCTCCGTCTGGCTAACGTTTTATGCTCAGTCTGGCTGAGGCTTTAAGTAACTCAATCTGGCTGAGCTCTTCATGCTCAGTCTGGCTAAGGTTTTTTATGCTCAGTCTGGCTGAGGCTTTATGCTCAGTCTAGCTGATGCTGTAATCAAAGCGTTATTGAAAGACCACACAGATAACTGAGATATAAGCTTGTTGTGATTAAAGTGTAGCCCATTTGATCAAAGATTTACATCACATGAGAAGAGGATAAGAGCATTCAAGTGCGTAGATTGTCAACAAGGAAATACAGCAGAAGATTGATACAAAAATTGAACTTTTATTGAAAATAGCACTTTATGTGCTCGCGTTCCATGGATGAGGGAGATCTCGGCCCTCCATGTCCTGAAGTCGGTAAGTGCCCGGATGAGGTCTGGCTTTAACAACGTAAGGTCCTTCTCACTTGGCTGCCAGTTTGCCCTCAGCTGGATTTTTGGTGGCAAGGGTTACTTCGCGCAAAACAAGGTCCTCCACGGCAAACTCCTTCGGTCGGACTTTGCGATTGTAATGTGTTCTCATTTTCTGTTGGTATGAGGCCCGTCTGACAACAGTGGTTTCTCGAAGCTCTTCAATTAGGTCTAGGTCTACCCGACGCAGCTCCTCAGTTAGTTCTAGATTTGAATGTAGAATTCTTGGGATAAGCAGACCGATTTCCACTGGGATGGCCGCCTCAACGCCGTATGTTAAGCGAAAAGGGGTCTTCCCAGTGGGGATTCGAGCAGTAGTGCGGTAGGCCCAGAGTACATTCGGTAATTCCTCAGCCCAGAGTCCCTTAACAGCTTCCAGCTTAGTTTTGATGATCTTGAGAAGAGAACGGTTGGTAACCTCAACTTGGCCATTGGCTTGGGGATGCCCTGGGGAAGAGAAACATGGCTAGATTTGAAGTTCTGCACATAATTTCCTGAACTTGGCGTTGTTGAATTGTTTGCCATTGTCGGAGACAATGGCTTGAGGGATGCCAAATCTGCATACAATCGACTGCCAGATAAATCTGGTTGTGTCCCGCTCGGTAATTGTGGCAAGGGGTTCTGCCTGCACCCATTTAGTGAAGTAATCAATGGCGACAATGACGAATTTGGTTTGGCCTCGGCCAGTGGGCAATGGGCCAACGAGGTCGATCCCCCATTTGGCGAATGGGTAGGGACTGCAAAGTGTGATTAATTCTATAGGTGGAGCATGAGGGATGTTGGCAAAACACTGTCACTTATCACATTTGAGCACGAAGTCTGTCGTATCTTGATTGAGAGTAGGCCATAAATAATTAGTGCGAAGTATTTTGTGGGCTAGGGCCCGGGCGCCCGAATGATTACCACATATACCCTCATGGACTTCCCTCATCACGTAGGTTGCTTGAGAAGGGTTGAGGCATCGCAGGTGTGGGCGTGAAAAATCACGTTTGTACAAGAGGCCACTGACAAGAATGTAGTTGGACGACCGGGCCCTGACTTTGGCAGCCTGCTGTTTGTCGGCTGGCAGTTCCCCCGTTGTTAGAAATAGGAAGATGTCGGCCGCCCATGGAATAGGTTCATTTTGGAAGAAGTAGACTTGTTTGGGCCAGGTACTCGAGGCGGACACCGTGGCTGAGGTCTGACTGGTCTGCAGAAGCTAACTGAGCCATTTCATCTGCCTTGGAGTTTTCCGTCCAAGGGATGTGCTTGATATGGAAATTATTGAAGAGGCGAGCGAGAGGGAGTGCAATATCCCTATAAGCCCGTATTATGTCTTCCTTGGCATCAAATTTCCCGTGATTTGTCTGACAATAAGCTGAGAATCGCTGAACACTTGGATGTGGCTGACACCAATGTCTCGGGTGAGGCGAAGACCAGTGATCAATGCTTCATACTCAACCTCATTATTGCTTGCGTCGAACAAGAAGCGGAGAGCACATTTGAAATAACCACCCTCAGGGATGGTGAGGATGAGACCAGCCCCACTGCCTTCTTTGCGAGATGATCCGTCAACATTGAGGGTCCAAGAGTGGGGGTCTTCGGGCTCGGTAGGGGGTGGCGGGGGTGGAGGAGCTGTGGTTGGAGTGGGATTAGTGAATTTCAGGATGAAATCGGCAACAACCTGCCCTTTAATCGCCATTCGAGGCCGGTAGGAGATGTCAAATGCTCGACCGACCATTGCATAAGTCTGCCGGAAAGCTCTGGTTGTTGCATTATCTTCTTCAATGGTTGGTCAGTGAGGACTACTATGGAATGGCCTTAGAAGTAAGGACGGAGTCGTCTGAAGGCGGTAACCAAAGCCAAGGACATTTTTTTCTAGCAATGGGTAATTTTGTTCCGCGCCTCTGAGAGCCCGACTGATGAAGTAGACCGGTCGTTGGACAGAGCTATCTTCCCTGATGAGTACTGCGCTGACTGCGGTGTTTGACACGGCTAAATAGAAGAAGAGGGGTTCGCCCGTGATTGCCTGAGAAAGTAAGGGGGGTTGGCCATGCACTGTTTCAACTGCTGAAAGGCCTCTTCGGATTCGGCCGTCCACGCAAAAGTTTGCCGAAGAACTTTGAAGAATGGGAGGCACTTGTCCGTTGCGCGGGAAATAAAGCGGTTGAGGGCGGCCAGTAAGCCTCTGAACCTTCTTAACCGTTCTGGGTGACTGCATTTCAATTAAGGCCTTGATCTTTTCGGGGTTAGCCTCGATGCCTCGCTGACTGACCATGAAGCCCAAGAACTTCCCAGATCCTACGCCGAAGGCACATTTCTCCGGATTAAGCTTCATTTAATGCTTTCGTAGGGTGGTAAAGGTCTCTTGCAGGTCGGCCAGATAATCAATGGAGAGCTTGCTCTTGACTAGCATGTCGTCGACATATACTTCCATGTTCCGGCCTATCTGGTGATGAAAGACGGCATTGACCAACCGTTGGTAAGTGGCTCCGACATTTTTCAACCCAAATGGCATCACACAGTAATGGTAGGTCCCCCGGTCGGTGATAAAGGAGGTGTGTTCCTGGTCAGACGGGTGCATCAGAATTTGGTTGTATCTAGAGAAGGCATCCATGAAACTGAGCATTTGATGACCGGCCGTGGCGTCAACCAGCAGATCTATGCGAGGAAGATGATAGTTGTCTTTGGGGCAAGCTCGGTTGAGGTCGGAGTAGTCGACACAGAGTCGTCATTTTCCATTGTTTTTACGAACCAGAACCACAACCACATTCGACAACCATCTGGGGTAGTCCACATTTGTGATAAACTGTGCCTCAAGGAGCTTCTTTACTTCAGAAGCAATAAGGTTATTGCACTTCGGGTGAAAGATGCGCTGCTGCTGGCGGATGGGTCGGAAATGGGGCTCAATGCTGAGACGGTGGGTAATGAAGGAGGGGTCAATACCTTGCATGTCGGAGTGGGTCCAGGCAAATACATCGTTGTGCTCAATCAGGAGGGCGGTGAGGTCGGCCTTGGCCTGGGAGGATAGTTGGCTGCCGATCTTGGCAGTTTTTGCCGGGTTGGTGGGATCGATGAGGACCTCGTCGAGCTCTTCCACTGGTTCCCCTCTGACCAGCTCGTTCTCGTCTCTGATGTCGAGTCCTTCAATGATCATAGCCTCCTTGAGCTTGACTTCTTTAAGTGAGGCGACATAACATTCTCTGGCCACGGTTTGCTCGCCCCTCACTGTGCCGACCCCAAGATCGGTGGGGAACTTGATGGCAAGATGAAAGTTGGATGTGATAGCTTGGAAAGCGTTTAGGGCGGTGCGGCCAAGGATGATGTTGTAAACAGAGGGGCAGTCGACAACAAGGAAGGTGAGTAATTTTGTGGTCTGTCACGAGTATTCGCCGATTGTGATGGGAAGATTGATAGAGCCGATGGGGGTCACCCGGTCTCCAGTGAAACCGACCAATGGGGTTTGGAGAGGAGACATACTTTTTTCCCCGATCTTGAACTGGAGAAAGCATTTAGGAAGATGATGTCGAAAGAACTGCCATTGTCGATGAGAACTCGTCTGACTTTGTAGTTGGAGAGAAGGGCAGAGATGACGAGAGAGTCGTCATGAGGGTAACGTATGCCTATGCAGTCGGCCTCCGTGAAGGTGATGGGCTCCATCCAGTGTTTGGGCTGTTTAGAAGGACGATCCAACGTGGCAACTTCTTTGTCTGAGCCCTGCCTTATTTTTCTAAGTTCTGCCCGCTGGGCCGAGCGGGATGGTCCTTCACAAGCAAGTCCGCCAGCAATAACTCTGATTTCTCCAATAGGTAGGGCGGAGTTACCTTGTGCTCGGGGTTGCTGTGGAGGGCGATCATGGCCAGGGTTAGGTTGTGATGGTTGCCGGGGAGGAGTGTGCCGGCGGTTGTTTCTAATGGGTTCAGTCATTTGCCTTTGCTGAGGGCGGGTGTCCATGAACCGGCTGAGACGTCCCTGACGTATCAAGCCCTTGACCTGATCTTTGAGGTTAACACACTCCTCAGTATTATGACCGTGGTCCTGGTGAAAACGATAATATTTGGACCGGTCTCGCCGATTGGAAGGAGACCGTGATGGTTGGGGCCATTTCAGGGGATAGTCTCGTTGGATCTGATTGAGGACTTGTTCCATGGAGGAATTAAGGGGTGTGTATCGTTCGAACTAGCCAGGCGGTCGGGCTCGTGCCGATCGGTCGGTTCTGGGGGGTTGGTTGCTGTACTAAGGTGTTTGGCTATTGTATTGGGTGTTTTTGGTTTCTGAGTCATTTCTCTTCTCTCTGGGGGTCGGGTTTTTGGCTGCAGTGTCCTGGCGAGCGGCTAGGGAATCTTCTGCGTTCATGTATTTTTGGGCTTTGAAAAGAAGGGTTGCCATGGGGGTTGGGGGGTTTTTTGAGAGGGAGAAAAGAAAATTAGATGATCATAGGCCGGCCATGAATGCCGTGAGGATGACCTTGTCATCGTTTTCCTCCACCTGCAGGGCTTCGGTGTTGAAGCGGGTGACAAAGCTGCGCAGCGACTGCCCCTCAGTCTAACGGATGTTGAGGAGCTGGGTTGCTGGACGCCGCTGGCGCTGGGCTCCAATGAAATGGTTGAGAAAGGAGTCACTGAGATGCTAGAAAGTGGAGACAGAGTCTGCTAGCAGTTGACTAAACCAGAGTCGAGCCGACCCCTTGAGTGTCACGGGGAAAGCCCGACACATGATTTCATCAGGGAATGCATGGAGCATCATGAGGGTCCGGTAGGTCTCCAAGTGATCGACTGGGTCTGTTGTACTGTCAAAAGAGTCGATGGTGGGTATTTTGAACTTAAGCGGTAGAGGTTTGTCCCGGATGGAGGTAACGAATGGTGAGTTGGCTATGGTGGATGGTTTATTCGGTATGTTCTGCAGGACTCCTTGGAGCTGGAGCTTCATGGCTCGGAGTTCTGCATATCAGAAAGGGACGTTGTCATCGTCGGAAGGGAACGGGGGCTGGACACTGCTGGCCTCTCCCTCGGGAGTGGGTACATGGACCGATGGATGTGGGGCCCGTGGTGGTAGGTTCATATCCGGGGAGTGGTCGCAACCCCTCCAAATTGGGGAGATGAGGCTGCTGGATAGTATGGCTCAGGGCTCGTTCTTGGTAGGGTGGGATATCTAGAGGAGGCATAGGAGGGTTTCTTTGGAGTAGAGCATTAATCAGGGCTTGGTTTTGCTCGGCTAGGCGGTTAATGCTGTTGGTGAGCTCGGTGAAATACTGTGGTGAGTTGTTTGGATTGGGAGGGTCGACTTGGTGGTCGGCAACATTGTGGTGAGAAGCCATGGATCTAGTCGTGACCATACACCTTGGTAGGTGGCAGGGAAAGGGTTATTGGGACAGGGTCTCCGGCGACAACGAGCACAACTAGCGTACGGAGTTAAGCAAATTCCCACAGACGGCGCCAGCTGATAATACTGCGGGCTTCAGATGGAACGGGTCGGACTAATCCACGCTTCCCAAACTGGTATCCGAGTGACCAAGCCCACAGAAGAACTTGTACAAGAGTTCAACGGGGAACGGGGAGTCTCTCAGCGAACCCTCCGACAAGCAAGTTAGAGAGAGAGGTGGAATGTAGAGATAAATTGGAGTTAGAAAGCTTAACCTTCTTTCAGTCTTCGACGTCTACTTATATCCTCTAGTAATCATTTCGTTGTCCCTTCCGACCTGCCACCTTGGCCGAAAGTCTGTGTTTTAGCTTACCTTGTTCATGGTGACGGCGTTCTGTCCCGACGGAGAGGGGTTATCGCAATAACTGCTGTAAGGGGCTTCATTAATGGCGATGTGCAGTGACAATAACTTTACAGATCTTTGTCTGCTTATGTGGCTTGCCCCTCTCTTGCCATGTGTCTTGATGTTATTGGTTCTTATTGTTACGTGGGGTTTTAGCAATGTTGGGTTTTAGTATTTGAGTTATGTATTGGGCCCTAAATGGTGGGTTATAATCTTTATAGGCTTACCCATGTCAAGTTCAATTATTAAAATTTATAAAAAATTTCATTAATTTAAAATTATTTTTATATACAATTCGTAATTCATAAAATAATTTTCAGTATTTTTATAATTCAAAAAAATTTAAACAAAAAAATATATATATAATTATCACAAAAAAGAGTATGACCCATCCATCTCTCTCCGGCGAGTTTTGGCGGGTAAGGGTTTGCTGGGTTCTATGTGGTCTCTTCATACATGGCGACTCTTCTTGATGATATTGGGTTGTCTCAGTCTCTGCCTTTGCGTTTTCTCAAGATTCAACCCATCAATGTCAGTTTGTGGGCAAGTTTGTCAATATCAATTTCAGGACTGCAAGACATGAAGATTAGCCATGCTGGTCTTGATTCAGTTGTTTTCCTGAGAATCTACACCATAGGGTACTCAAATTTTCTTTACTTCTTTTTTTTTTTTTGTTGCTTTCTGTTAATTTTATGGTTTTGGGTATGTTTTGTTTCATCTGAAAAATTGAAGAATTTGGACTTGTGTAGTTGTCTTGCTGCTTCATTTCAGACTGTTCTGTAGATAATCTATGGTTTCTGGTGCTGTTTGAATTTGCCATTTTGCCCCGGAAATCCGTGAGGCTCAGGCGCCATTTCGGTCCCCCCCAAAAAAATAAAAATAAATAAATAAATCTAACTAGCATTATCGATTGGACTAAATAGTGATAAAACTCAAAATTTACAGTTAAAACCAACTTAATTGCAATTACAAGAACAAAATTGACCCAAAAGGCAGAGTACATGGACATAGAATTTACGTTAGAATCATTGTAGATTATTTGAGTGGGGCCACTGTGCTTCATTAGGGGACCTTCCTATTTTTTTGTAATCTTTTCTTTTAAGGTCAAGTTTGAAGGTACACTAAAAAACAAAAACAAAAACAAAAAAATTTGAAATAAGATGGTCCAAAAAACACAGCAAATATTTTCCACTAAAATGATGCCGTTTTAATATAAGATTATAGATGGCTACTGGAATGGCATCGTGTTGTTGCTTTTCTGGCGTTTCACATAAATGCCGCCATAAAATATTCCTAGATTTTTTTTTTGGTCCTAAAATATATCCACCATTCAAAAGGATATTTGATGATAGGCATGTTGATTAATTACGCATGACACGGTAATATTTTGTCGCTATCAACTCACACTAATGTGCTAAAAAGATATGTGATGAGCATAGCGGCTAGCGTAAGTAATTGGTTTAAAAACCAGTGAATGAATAGCAAAATAAGCCAAAGCGAGTTACTTTTTCTATGATTTTTTAGCATGTTTTCAATTATTGCTAATGCATAGTATTCTTTATTGGCCTTGTTTAATTTGGAATCCTTTTAAAGTTGTTTGTAGTGATTCTGAATGGACACTTTTGAATTGTGCATAACAGGTCTTAAATCCATCAATTTCATACAGTCCATCCCACTTTACGTGTACATAATGAGGTGTATTATTGAGAGTAAATAATTGACCAATTGGATGGTAAAAAAGCATAAACCCAATGTCCCTGAGATCTAAATACTATTTTATTGGACTATACATGAATAAAAAAATGGATCATGCATGATTGGTTTGTTTGTCACTAACCTGAGTGGAGTCTTTCTTTTTTGATCCATTGAAAAGCGTCTTTCATGCTCCAATATATTATATATAGTGAGAGAGAGAAGTAATTTATCCACAGAATGTGGGTGTCACAGACTAAAAAATTTATGATGTGGGTCTCGAATACAGTTGACATTTCCAGGAACTACTGTGAGCATTCTTGTGTATTTTTTTGTGGTTGTTTTCTGTGCATGTAGTACTACTGCGAGTGTTGTGCATTTTTCTGTGATTGATTTTTGTGCACGTAGGACTGCTGCTAGTGTTCTTGTGTGTTTTTCTGCTTTTGGTTTTTGTGGATCTAAGATTTTTAGGCCGCTAGCTTATTACAAAATTTGTCTATCTTATATATATATATATTTATTCAGTGTGTCCCCTGACATGTCAGTAAGATAATTTTTAGAAAAATTCCGTGTCGGTGTTAAGTCGTGTCCATAACCACGCTTCATAGTCTTTTAGCAGGGCGACTAGTGACTGCAAAATCCCAAAGGCACATATGCAGTTAATCTCAGTTCTCAAAAAAGATATTTCTTCACCGCCATGTAAGTTTTAACTAAGACAACAACATTAAAGAAAACTAACTATATACGTATGCCACTTAAAACTCATGATACTTATTGATGTTCACATGTAAAAGTTCGTTTCACCTACCTGTATACCTCTTCAGTTGAAAAGGGAAGTAGTTGTATGGCTTTCACATTATACTTGTTAATGTATAACTGTTTGTTTACCAGAGTGACTGGATGCAATTATATGATGGTCCATGTAACAGATACACATTGTGAACTTTCATTGTAATTCAATTCAATGTGAGTTCTAGGCTAGCTTTAATATTATTGACCAAAAAGAGGTGTAATATGATATGAACTTAACAAGGGAAAACTATTGGGGCTTGCTTTATTGGTAACGACATTTAGTGGAAGTGCTTTTTATCTTTATTATTTATTTCTTTAATCCCGCTTTTGAATGGATGTCTTTTGTTTATGTTTTGATTTAATGTAAAACCTGTTCATGTATTTTTTCCCCCCATTAATGTGAAAATCAAATCCCAACCCATCATCCAATCACACACTAAACATGTTTTGTAACGGTGTTGTAGTTGCTCTGTGTGTCAGCCACAAATATGGAAAGGAAAATGATTCATCCTTCAAAAATAAACCAAACACGATTGACCTACTCTGCAACTATTGGGTTGTGTGAGGTGTGCCCACAACCTTCACCAATGACTGCTGAACTTGCAAGTTGTGTTTGGTTTGTATTTGTAACATGAAAATTCCCTGGTTTAGGAACACTAATACCCAAAAACTCTCGAGAACTTTAGGTAGGTTTACATTTTTAAATGCCTGCTTTGAAGGTAGAAAGACAATGATGCACATTTGTTCGGAAGAGAACAGCCTAATAAAAAGTCTTGCCTTTTAAAGCAAAGGCTGAGAGTGGCTTTCCTGGGGAAGTTGGCGCTGTAATTGTCATATTAACTGACCTATGTTTTTTTTTTTTTCCTTTCTCTTTTTTAATGAACTTAAAATGGAAATCGACTCACCCTCACTATCTGCTTTCAAGAACCAAGTGTTTTATTTCCATTTCTAACCCCCACCAATGGAAAATTAACGTATATTATTTAATCTCCTCTGTTATATATATGAGTCTCATTCCACATGGATACATGAACCAACATTGTGGGCAGTGGGCAATAAAAGATGGACTCTCATGGTGCAGAGAAAATTGAGAGCCAAAATCAGCCCCCACAGCCACGACAAGTAGCGAAGGGCACCACCTTCTTCAGAACTTGCTTCAATGGACTCAATGCCTTATCAGGTCTCTCTCTCTCTCTCTCTGTGGATTTTGGTGGTGATTTACCATCTATCTCTTCTTAGTTCGCAATAGTTTTAAATGACAGCTAATACATATTGGGTTTTGGCCCTTTTAATACCAATAGACTCGGGTATACCAATGTGAATGAAATCACATGTGCATTGTCCGTTTCCCGATACGTTGTTGTTCATAACCGATTCATTAGTCGATATGGCTGCTCTAGCTAGTTCAGTAAAGCTCTTTTTTGCGGATGATGATTTTTAAAATCCTAGACCTTATTACCTGATTCACGATACGTATTGCTCGACACTTCCAATACCATTACATTGCGACTGCGATTGATACTGATTCGTCTCTTAATACTGCTATTTAAAATCTTGTTCATACCCATATCATTCAAGTTGTTAAAAGCTTATAATGATCTCCCAAATGCCAAATTCATCAAGACTTGCATGCCGAGTCTTATGACCATGGCTGTGCTGAATGCACTAACATATGACTAACAATATTTCATCCCTCTTTCACTTCTCAGGTGTTGGGATACTATCAATTCCATATGCACTTTCTCAAGGAGGATGGCTCAGCTTAATAATCCTCTTCTTAGTAGCAATCCTCTGTTGCTACACGGGGCTACTTCTACTCCGATGTATGGATGCAGACCCACTCATCAAAACCTATCCCGACATAGGTGAGCTAGCATTTGGGACCAAGGGAAGAGCTCTAGTGTCCACCTTGATGTATCTCGAGCTATTTCTAGTCGCTGTTGAGTTTCTAATACTTGAAGGAGACAATCTCAACAAACTCTTCCCAAATACTAGTGTCCACATTGCTGGCCAAAAGATTGGAGGGAAACAGTGCTTTGTTTTGCTTACTGCTTTCGTGATATTGCCGACCACGTGGTTGAGGAGTTTGGGATTGCTGGCTTACGTCTCGGTCGGTGGGGTTTTGGCCTCTGTGGTTCTTGTTGGTTCTGTTTTCTGGGGTGGTGCTGTTGATGGTGTAGGATTTCATGAAAGAGGAGACCTTTGGAATTGGAGTGGATTGCCTACTGCTATAAGCTTGTATACCTTTTGTTACTGTGGTCATGCAGTTTTTCCCACACTCTGCAATTCCATGAAGGACAGAGGCCAATTTCCTATGGTAAGATTGGATGTACTTTATTTAGACATTTATTCTCAATGAAACATTATACTAACATTTTTGCCACGAGCTTTATTAAGTCCTATCATTTCAATCCTATTAACGATTTGACCCAACTGTAAAGTCATCTGTTTGGTTCACACATGGAAGTTGATGATGTCATCCTTATTATACTAAAATGCTTATTTTACTATATCAAAGTTGATGATGGAGATATGTGTAATTATATCAAATTATAGAGTTTGTTTGTTGTATTTTTGGCAAATCTTAGGGGAGGTTAATGTAATTTATCCTAATCTTTATTTATATCATATAGGAGTTGTAAAATTGTAATATTCTTTCATTTTATTGGAGAACCTTTGAAAAAATAAAATAAATAAAATAAAAGAGACAATAGGAGCCGCTAAAACTTAGCTTAAAATGAATTAATTCCTCACCTCTTGTAGGTAGTGTTTTTTGTTTTCTTGTGTGTTTTTGGTTTTGGAAACAAAATAATGAAAAGTTGAAAAATACCTATCGTGCAAAAACAGTTTTCAAAAATTCGAAAACAATATTTTGATATTTTCTAAAAAGTGGATTGTTTTTTAAAAAAAAAATTCAAAAACAGTTTTCAGAACAGTATGCAAAGAAGTTTAAAGAAGTTCAACTTTTTTAAAACACGGAAAATGTTTGGTATCTTAAAATTTTGTGACTCATTTTGTGACTCAAATGGTTCAAATCTGTCAAAACGACGTCGTTTTATACTCAAAACGACGTCATTTTGAGTGATTTGAGCCATTTGAGCCACAAAATTTTGAGTTACCTAGCATTGTTGTTAAAACACAATCAAATACTGACCAAGTTAAGTTTTAGAAAGACCAAGGGGCTGGTCTGAGTAGATTAAGTAATCCTTTGTCATACATATGGCCAAGTTTGGCATGAGGCAAAAAAGACAAAAAGTTAAAAAGTCACTATCCTATTTAAGTTACATCATCTTATTTAAGTCACATCACCTCTCTAACACATCACTTCAAACCCAATCCAAACCCAACCCATATTTCATAAAAAGTCAAAAAGTACACTTATTTAGTCTTTCCAAACTAGGCCAATATTGTTTGGGTTTAAGCCTTATTATTAATGCGTTATGCAGCTTCTATCCACCTCATACCAATCCTAAAAATAAAAAAATAAAAAAAAGGTTTAAGTTTGACAAAATGTTAATCATGACAAATAAATTTATGGGCTTCCTTTTATTAACCATACGATTTCAACATCCTTCCTTTCTGAGCACACGACACCAAATTTCAATCTACACTAAGGCCTCGTTTAGGAACAGACTAATTTAGTAACTTTTTGACTATTTGGCTAAAATATGAGCTAAAAAAAACTAGTATGTTTGGGATAATTTTTTGACTTTTTACGAAAAGATGTGCAAAAAGTAGAGAGAAAAGAGAATCTTTGACTTTTTAGTATGGATTATTGGCTTTTTGGCTAATTTAGTAACTTTTTGGCTAAAAAGAAAGGTTCCCAAACGAGGCCTAAGTATTCAAATTTTGAGCACTTTTTTTTTTTTTGCCCCCCCTAGATGCATAACATTCGTGTTCTTATTGATTTGAATGAAAGCAATAAACTACTTTTGCAACATCACAAACTAATTATATTCTTACCTTTTTTTTCCCTTGTATTTTCTCTTGCAGGTTTTACTAGTTTGCTTTGTACTTAGCACCATATGCTATGGATCAATGGCAGTTCTAGGATACCTCATGTTCGGAGAAAATCTGATGTCTCAAGTGACCTTAAATCTTCCAACACACAACATCAGTTCAAAAATAGCTATTTACACCACCTTGATCAACCCCATAACAAAGTATGCGATAATTATTTCTCCGATTGCCACAGCCATTGAAGCTACATCCCCTTTCCGCAATAGCAGACCTATTAGTCTTCTCATCAGATCGGTTTTAGTTTTCAGCACGGCAGTTGTGGCGTTATCAATCCCATTTTTTGGGTATGTAATGGCGTTTATAGGCTCGTTTCTGAGTGTTAGTGTCTCAATCTTGCTCCCGTGCCTTTGTTACCTTAAGATCTACAAAGCGTACAGGAGTTTTGGGGCCGAGTTGATGCTTATCGGGGCAATATTGGTGATGGGGGTTTTTGTTGCTGTAACAGGTACATATACTTCTTTGAGAGAAATTGTAAAGCATTTGAAATCAGTTTGAATCAACAAAGATGTTAATAGCAAGGGCTCTAAAACTTAATTTGTTATGGCCTTTTTGAGTTTTTGACTGATTATAGTTTGCAGAAGGTATGAAACTGGCAATGTAAATTTAAATATTGTGCCAAGTATGGTGACAAAGATTCACAAAAACTTTTTTATTTCTAATTTTTGGGTACATAATCAAATTTGTCTATACCTCTCTGCTGGCAATTCATTCCATTCACTTGGAAATTGTAAGACTCACATGCCTCTCATAATGGAGAGAGGACCGACCTATTGGCATTCTACTCTAGCCTAAGACTCATAGGGCGTGTTTGATTGGGGGGATTGGAAGTGGGACTATCCACTATTTGGATTACAATCCAAATAGTGTTCCTTATCCGCCGTTTGATTTTTTTTTAATCCGCCGGACATGGAGTCCGGCCGGACTCTATGTCCCCCATATGGGGGACTATTGTGTCCTAGGGGGGGTGGGATAGAATGTGGGGGACTATTCACTGTTGGGATTAGATGCGAAAATGATCATTTTGACCCTCTAATATTTAATTATGTATTACATTTAATAAAATTCAATGAAATTTAAATGTCTCAATTTAAAAATAAAATAATTTTATTTAACTTTTTATTGATGTTTTATTTATTTAAATTTTTAAAATAATTTTTTATAGATATTTTATTGATGTTTTATTTTAAAATTTTGTTTATAATTTATTTAATTTCATTATTTAAATTTTAATATGTGTTTTATTTAAAATTTATTTAAAATTTTAATTAAAAAAATAATATAAATTTTTTATACAGGTTATACAGTATTTTATTAAATCAAATTTAGTGGTTATTTATTTATTTAATTGTGTAAAAAAATAAATTTATTTAATTGTGTAAATAAACAAACACAGTAAAGTTTTGCATGTAAAAAAAATAATGATTTGTTATACAGTAATGATTTAAAACAAATTTTATTGATATTTTATTTATTTATTTATTTAATTTAAAAAAATGAATTTATTTAATTAAAAATAATTAAAATATTAAAGATATGTTTAATATTGCTATTACTTAGTAAACAATTGAAAAAGGGTAAAATAGTCTTTTGTTCATTTATCCTATCCAGTCCGTCCAACCAAACGTTGGATTCACTGAAAATAGTCCTATCCAGACATCTAATCCCATGAAAAAACAAACACAGGATACATATCCAATCCATAATCAAATTTGTCTATACCTCTCTGCTGGCAATTCATTCCATTCACTTGGAAATTGTAAGACTCACATGCCTCTCATAATGGAGAGAAGACCGACCTATTGGCATTCTACTCTAGTCTAAGACTCATAGAGGACTCCCAACATGTGGGCTCAACAAGGGCACTAAGGTGTACAGTTTGTATTTCTACGAGGGTCTAGTAGGGTGAGTTTGGTTCAGTGAAACAACCAATTAGTGGGTAATTATTCAGTAATTCTAGAGTATAGACATACAGTACTCTATAATATTGTGAGTGGTAGAGAAGGTAGATAGGTGGGGTATTGTTTTGGGTGATTAAAAGGCATAAGGAGACATAATGAATAATGATTGGTAAATAGTACGAACACGTGATATTTCGAAAATATTAAATAATTTCTCCCAATTAGCTGCATAGACTATGAATGGCATTTTATATGCCAGACTTCCTTCCAGAGGGAAGTAGTTATTGTCAGATAAGTTTGGGCCTACAGTTGTCAAAACGGGTCAAAATTTAAAACTTGGATGGTCAAAAGATTTAGCCCACCAAGGATCCTCTAGAGTGAAATTTCCCTAAAGTTTCCTAAAGTCCTACATTGTGTGGTTGAGATTTACTGGCAAGTCACATCAGAAAAATTGATGTGACTTGCCAGTAAATCTCAACCACCAATTAGCTGCATAGACTATGAATGGCATTTTATATGCCAGACTTCCTTCCAGAGGGGAGTAGTTATTGTCAGATAAGTTTGGGCCTACAGTTGTCAAAACGGGTCAAAATTTAAAACTGGATGGTCAAAAGATTTAGCCACCTCACGGAAAACTTCTGTTACAACAAAGAGTTGCCCTGTGATTTTAGTACAAAAAGTTTCGACTAACCCCCCAAAAAAAAAGAAAAAGAAAAATGAAATTTTGTCAAGACAACTATTTGTAATTTTAAAAGGACTTGTCAATTTCATTTTTGAAGGAGATTCTTTTTAGAAATCTGTTTGTACGCTATTTTTCATTTCCAAACTACAAAATTTAAAAGACAATATCAGGATATGTAATTTGCAAAAGGCACAATATATCTACAAGAAAAATGAGCCAGAAAGGGTGGGATGGGATGAGATAATCCCTCTCTACCCGACCCGAAAATAAAATATTTATATATATTATCATTGCTATAAATTTTAAGAGAAATGTTACAAATGCACAATTTAAAAGTTAAAATTTATCTACAATGACATAGTTAAAAGTTGATATATAACCTACCATTTGCCATGTTATTATAAGAAGTTAGTCTTAATATATATATATATATATATATTTGTTTTAAATTTTAAACTTTTGATGAGCTAAAAAGATTGGGACGGGAATTAAGAGGAGACATTCTCTCTGTATCACTTATCTAATAAATTTAACTTATCGTATAAGTAGTGTATTGTTAAGTTAGCATAGGACCAACCACTATGTAACTTTTCACCGAACAAGATTACCCCAAATATTAGGGTTGAGTAAGAAATCCGTGAAATTCGTAATCCAATCCAGTCCAGTTCAATCCGATAGGTTTGGATTAGTTTTTTGAATCCGTAGTTCGGTTCCGGATTGAAAAATTAAAAATTCGTAGTACACGGATTGGTTCTGGATTGAACCCTACGGTTCCAGATAGGAACCGATCCGGACCGTATACAAATAGTATACATTTTTATTATACATCCTCCCCCATAGTATCTTCTCTTATTCTATGTATAATCTAAACTCAAATCTAAAACCGTATAATATCTTCTTTTATTACTTTTGTTTCTTAGTTTTTAGTTTTAATTTGTAATGGTCTAAATATTTATGGTGAAACCAGTTTTCTTATAGTTGTTTAAATTCTAACACAGTATGTCGCTATTATAGAAATAGATGTTGCTATTGTGGAACTAATATAGTGCTATGTTTATATTTTTATGAAATTAAAGTGTTATATATATTTTTTTGTTATTTTTCTGTACTCAAAACGACGTCGTTTTGGCCATTTGAGCCACTTTTGAGCCACAAAATTTGAGCTACGTAACATTGTCGTAAATTCAACTTATCGTATAAGTAGTGTATTGTTAAGTTAGCATAGGACCAACCATTATGTAACTTTTCACCGAACAAGATTACCCCAAGTACTGCCTTCTCGAGTGCAAGGACTTGAACCCAATTAGTGGTCTATGTGAACAGTACATATTTAATCAGTAAGGTCTTGTTTGTTTTCCTCTATCACAGTCCATTTCGGATTGTGAATGATGAACAGTGAAGATACCTCATGTTTGTTTGTTTTGGTTTTAGAGCTCCGGATTCATAATCCCCTTCGGACAACGATAGGCCTTGGCAAGAGTATTGTTAGTCTGGGTGAGAAGGTGGTATTAAAAAATAGTTCGTTTAGCTTAGGATGTTAACGATTTTCTGCTCAGACTTCCAGCCGTATGTCGAATCGGTCAATTGCAATTTTTTATTTTTATTTTACGTATTGGGCATTTTTTTTAAACGTTAATGTTTAATATTTTTGTATTTTTTGTTAAGTAAAAATTATAATTTAATTTGCTTTATTATTTTATATTTATTTAATTTAACAAGTCTTATACTAACAATTATCATCAAAATAAACACAATTTTACCCTCTATTCTATCTCTAAAAACAAACAGATCCTAAAGATCATCCTAGCAGAGTGTGCTTATTTATTTGTTTAATTAATTAATTAATTTTTTTAAAAAGGGAATCTATTGAATTTTGTTAGTTTATGAATTAGATTAGTGTGCCAAGGTCGTTGTCGTCAAGTGACATATAATTGCGTCTTAGGGTATAGGGAGCGGAAGATTTAGAGTTCAAACTGATGGATCAATAGCGATTCCTTTAAATTATAATTTAATTTTATTAACATATTAACATTTCATTTTTGACAAAAAATAATAAATAAAATAGATTAGTGTGAGAGTTATATTTGCCGGAGCCTGGAGGTCAATTCTACTACTAAAAAAACTCAAATACAATGCAAACTTTCATATTCAAACTCATTTAACTAATGTCATTAGTATTATTATAGTCATAATTAGACTCTTATCATGGCTTATCATGTGACAATAGTAATTAACCTATAAAAGATGAAAAAGTCTTTACTTGTGAAGTTAAAATAAAGGTCTAACTATTCAATTAATAGAGAAGATTGGACAGTTCGATTTGAGTTTTATGAGTCCATTTTAAGTTTTAAGTTTTTTTAGCTCTCACGTGTAGTCTATTTATAAAATATGTTATATCGATATTTACAATTATATAATTTTATTATTTTTGTATTTAAATAAATAAATGAACAAGTATAATTTTTAAAATGGAATGTTTGATTTTAAAAAAAATATGATAAAATTATGTAGTTACAATTATCAAATTAATTTAATTCTTTTCATAAATGATCTACATGAGTTTAAGAGTTTTTATATTTATTTTTTTGTCAATTGATAGTATAAAAATTATATCATGAGAAATATTTACATCATCAAATAAATCACTAACAAACAATAGATATAAAAGTTAACAAAACCTAAGAGCATCTACACCAGTCTTTTCAAATTTTTAGTCAAATTATAACATAAAAAGTCATTTTTCTATTTTAGCTAGTCACTCCACTGCATCAAACTCTCTATTCTGACTCAATCTTATTAAAATATTTGTTATTCTTTTTTTTGTTAAATTGATGAGCTGCCAATCAAACAATTCTTATGTTCCTTTGTAAACGTAAAACTGAAGGAAATGTGAAAAAAAAAATAATAATAAAAAATGACGTTGACTAGTTGACCGGATGGACATCCGGTAACACACAAGTAGCGATGAACAGTACCTCGTTTGTTGTAGCGAGATACTGTAACAATCACAAATTTTGACGAGCTACAAGTGAGACTGATGGAGGTCGTTTTTTGAAGTTTATATCGTTAGTTTAGCTAAGAAACGATTTTACTAATCTTGACGCTGAGGCTCCCATCCCACTAGAGTCCAGATCCTCTGTTGTGGTTCTCTGCAGTGTGTCCTACAGTGGTCTAAAATGACGTCGTTTTGTATTTTTTTTTTTTTGGTTTCCTTTCCTCCTCTTTTTATTTCTCTCTCATTTGCCGAACCCTAACCCGCTAATACGAAGATAGGCGAATAGAGAGAGGCAAGGGCAAAACGACGGAAGTTGATGGTGACGGCGGCTAGTCGGCGAGGCAGTGGCAGCTAATCGACAAGGTTGAGGCTGCGACGAGAGGCGATGGCGGCTAATCGGCGAGGCAGCAGTTGTGATGCGAGGCAATGGCGAGGTTCTTCAATCTTCATTCTCACCTAATCTCTACTAGTTGATGCTTCAATTTCTCTTTCTCATGTGTACACATATATGATTTCTTGGGTTTGATGATCCCAAGTTGAAGCTTGAACCCATGGAGGCTACTTCTCTCACTGTCAAATTCCCAGTCAATCTCAACTCCACCACCCATGATGATCAAGATGTTCCTACGTTGTCCTATGATTAAAAACGAAGGGTCATCAATGAGATGGACTTCTTCGCTGACGATAAACAACACCACTCCAAAGCGGCAGCCTCCATCGACGATGAAAAGGACTTACCCGAACCTGCCCAATTGAATTTCAATGTCAAGTAAGTTACCCATTTCAATTCTTCTGTTTTTTTTGTTCATCGTATCAAATTTCTTTTTATATGTTTTTTTGAGATTAATTACATTTATAGTCTATGTTATTTGAGTCAAATATTAATTTTGTTTATCCTTGCACTTGAAAGTTTATTTTTAATTTGGTGTTTTTGTTCAAGTTAAAAGCTAAAATCAATCAATGTGTTTGGTTTGAATTTTCTGGATTAAGTTTTTTGAAAACTGAGTTTTTTGGTTTTCGTATTCTTTTGTTTTTAGTGAATATTTTTTAAATTTTAAACATTTTTTTTAACTTTTTTAGATGCACCTTAGTTAGATGTATCTAAAAAGTAAAAAATTTGTGAAAAAATATTTTAAAAAATTAATAAATACATGAAAATACAAAAAATGTACTGAATTCTTGTATTTTTTTTTATATTTTTGGTATTTAGTGAATTTTTAAAAGATTTTTTTTACAATTTTTTTTTTTACTTTTTAGGTGTATTTATGTTAGGTGTGTCTAAAAAGTAAAAAAATTGCTTAAAATATTAAAAAAATTCAGTAAAAACAAAAAAACACGGAAAATAAGAATGTAAAATTTTATGAAAAGTGTTTTCTGAAAAATGAAAACAAGCAAACTGTATTTTGCAGTATTTGTAAAAAAATAATAATAAAAATTTAACCCCAAAGTTTAGGAATTTTGGAAGTCATGTGACTAGCTTTGTTAGTCCCAAGCATAGGACTCGATTCTTCCATTTGGGGCGTCAAGTTCATCTTCCAATGGGATAGATTATAGTTTCACTTGTTTGTCTTCCAACAAGAGACCTCTATCTTTTGAAATTTGTCTTTTCAAAAAATTGTTTAGTTCTAATTCAAGATTGTACACTTACTAAGTTAAAAAGGGTTTGCTCAGGCTGCAAGTTTTGAAGGAACAAATATTGATCCAATGGCATGGGAGGACAAAAAACCCCTGGGAATCACGTTTTCCTGCTTAGGTATGTTAAGTAGATTTTAATGAATTGTAACATTTCTAACTGTAGAGGCATATTTTTGTGAATGACAGCACGTGGCTGAGGTAACGCCGACGTGTCAACCAGAGTGCCACGTGGCTTGGTCATGTAAGAGATGATCTCGGCTAGGCTGAGGTTATCTTTGAAGATACTAGAATTCGAGATGAGTGGATGAGGGACAAGAGTCCTGGAATGGGAAAGGACCTCAGTTTGGATAAAGATAAAGTTTTTAGAGAGTTTATCTATATCTGGCTGGGAGTCCAAGATGAGTATTGAGCCAGAGTCCATTAAAGCTAGGCTTTTACAAGGATCGGGTTGGTGCTGGCTTTAAAAGTAAGGCACACTTGTGGGTCTAAGGTATGCCTTTTGTATTCTGACTAGTGAGTTAAGCACTATTTGCTATCCTTGAGAGATAATTGAGTACTGACTTGATCGTTGGAGTGCCCCTGGGTGGACGAACCACCGCCGGAGTCTTATCTTTCTATGACAAGTTGTTCCAGCGTGATCTATTCTGCTTTTGCTCTCTTGCTGAGTTCTTGTTTGGCAGTGTGGTCGAAAATGAGCACATACAATTTGGCGCCGTCTGTGGGAAACGTAAGGAGAATAGATGGCCAACGACGGACAGAAAGAAAAGATTGGGGGCGACATCCCTAGTGGGAGTGGTAAAAACGTTAATCCTAACGTTGAGGAGGACAACTATAATGAAGAACCTCGGGATAAGAATCCCAGAGAAAAAGATGTCGGCCAAGAGGGAGACGCACCGAAAAAAGCATGTCAAGGCGGGTATTACAACGAGAACGACCTCCAGGTATGGAAAGATAGATGCTTGAGGAGGGATGGCGAGATGAAGGGAATGGCAAACAAGTTGGCAGACTTACAATCGATTGTCAACTTCATGATACAGAACAGCATCATGCAGCCACCATTTCTATTAGAGGGCATATCAATTTCAGCGGCCAAAAATGATGCCCAGAAAGGGGGACAAAAAGCAATCTCTGCAGTCCTTTAGCATGACAAGGCAAAGGAGCATTCGCATCGGCCTTTATGGGTGGTCGGGCAAGGAGAATTGATGAGCGAAGAGTCTCAGAAGACACCTCATGCCGAGAAAACATATGTCAAGGAACATCGACATGTTCAAGGGAAGGAGCTTTGTTTTGATACGATGAATGAAGGGAGGCTCAAGAGGACTCATAACGACATCGAGAGTAGCGCACCAAAAAGGCCGAAATCTATTGACAACCGAGCCCCTGGATGGACTAAGGAGAATTTAAGGGACTACCTCCAGAGGAAGCGACAAGATGTCGAGGTCACATCTCTGGTTAAGCCCAGAACGTCGTTCTCAGTAGAATTTGATAAGTTTGAGGCCCCGAAAAGGTTCCACATGTCGAGATTCCAGATTTACGATGGTAAGTCCGATCCTAACTTTTACGTCAGCTTATATTTGAACTCAATGGCATTGTATACCGGGAATGAACCGTTGCTCTACAAGGTGTTCCCCTCATTCTTTGGAGAAATCGCATCAGATTAGTTTCACAAGTTGCCGAAAGGAATTGTGAAAAGTTGGAAAGGCCTGGCCGAGATGTTTGTGGCCAGGTTCATTACGAACAAACTGTAGCCGTTGAAGGTAGACTCTCTGATGGCTCTGAGAATTGGCGAGGATGAAAGCCTCAGGGCTTATGCCAAAAGGTATTATGAGTTGTTTAATCGAATATCAGGGTGCAACCAAGAGTTTGCGGTCGTATCTTTTAAGAACGGCCTGAACGATGACTGCCTGCTTTGAAAGTCATTGGCAAAGACGTTGCCAAAAATTATGGAGGAACTCATGACCAGGATCGAGAAATATGCAAGAGCTGAAGAAGACATGCTAGGGACAAAGGCATCGAAACAAGAAAAGAGAAATGGCTCGCTGAAGCGAGGCCGAGGTAATGCTGGATGTAACAAGCAAGAGATAGGATTGAAGGTTGCACGGGCAGTCACTATCGTATTTCGGATTCCGATTTATAAAGTTTTGGAAACAATCAGGAACCAGCCATATTATAGAGCGCTAGAAAAGGTTCCTGGCGAATTCATGGAAAAAAGCCTGGGAAAGCATTGTGCTTACCACAATGAAGATGGACACTTGACACAGGATTGTAGAGCCCTAAAAGCACATTTGGAAGATCTGGTAAGACAAGGTCACTTAAGGGATCTAGATAAGGCTAGAATAAGGGAAGAGCAAGCAAGGCTGCCCCAGGCACTGGCAACACCACCTCCACCAACACCACAACCGCAAGTAGATGGACCTCAAGTGATCAATGTGATTCACTCGAAGGTCAATGAGAACGAGGTACGTGGGGAGACTCAGAGGGTAAAGCACTTATAGCATGTGTATCAGGTCCAGCAAAAGAGGCCTAGGGCAGACGAGTACCAGGGACCAATGGTGTCCTTTATTGAAGCCGACCTAGACATGGTGCAACATCCACACAATAATGCTCTGGTGATATCCCTCAAGATTGGAGAATGCTAGGTAAGGCACATTCTAATTGATCAAGAGAGCTCTAGTGACATCAAGTATGTCAGATGTTATAAGGAGCTCAGCCTTCACCAAGATGACCTAGAGCAGTCCAATAGTCCAATGGTCGAGTTCAATGGAACGTCGACATGGCTCCTGTGAGTAATAAGTTTGGAAGTACAGGCAACCACCAAGAAGGTAAGTACAGAGTTCACAATAATTGACACCCCCTCCCCTTACAATGTTATCTTGGGAAAGCCATGGTTACACGCAATGAGGGCTATTCCCTCAACACTGCACCAACTGTTGCGGTTCCCAACTGAGCATAGAATTGAGGAAGTCAGAGGGGATTAGGTGCAGGCAAAGAATTGCTCAATGGAAATAATGAAATCCACCTGCAACGTACAAGAAGCAGAAACAATAGAGATTGAGGACGAGGACATGGAGGTCCTAGATGACGTCGGCAAAGAACCAGTCGACAAAAGCGATGAAGCTTTGAAGAAAATTCTAGTCTAGCAAGGAGATGAGGAGCGCTTTTTCCTCTTCGGCTTAGGCTTGGTCGAGAAAGAGGAAAAGGAGTTAGAAGTATTCTCGCGGGCAAACATAGAGGTGTTTGCCTGGACGCCATACGAGATGTCTGGCATTGACCCCGAGGTTACATACCACAGACTGAATGTAGACAGGTTGGCTAAACCCGTCATTCAGCGAGCGAGGAAGCCGATGTTGGTTCATGCGGAGATAGTAGAGGAGGAAATGAACAAATTATTAGAGGCTAGAGCCATCCGAGAAGTAAACTACCCTACCTGACTGTAGGGCTGCAAACGAACCAAGCTGTTAATGAACAAGCTCAGCTCGGCTCGGCTCGTTAAGGGCTCGGCTCGGCTCAGCTCATTTAGTAAATGAGCCAAGCTCGAGCTCGTATAAGCTCGGCTCGTTTATCTTTATTTAAATTATATAATAAATATATTATTTATATATTAAATAATATATAAATATATATAAATACATTATTTATATATTAAAAATATATGAATATATATATAAGTAATAATATAAATAAAATTTTTATATATTAAATAATATAAATAATATTTTTAATTTAAATATTTATATTTAAATAACATAAATAATATTAAAAAAAATTTATTGAGTCAAGTCGAGCCGAGCCGAGCTCGAGCTTCATTAAAATTAACGAGCCAAGCTCGAGCTCAGCAAAGCTTGGCTCGGCACGGTTCGTTTGCAGCCTTACCTGGCTGTCCAACACTGTGGTTGTAAAAAAGAGGAATAGGAAATGGAGGGTCTGCGTGGACTTCACTAGCCTGAATAAGGCTTGTCCCAAAGATAGTTTCACACTCCCCAAGAGCGATCAATTAGTGAATGACACTTCAGGGCATGGAAGGATGAGCTTTCTAGACGCTTACAGGGGGTACCATCAGATAACAATGTACCCCTCTGATGAAGAGAAGACTGCATTTATCACCCCAAAAGGATTGTATTGCTACAGAGTGATGCCTTTTGGGTTGAAAAATACAGGAGCAACGTACCAGAGGTTAGTAACCAAGATGTTTAGACATCTGATTGGCAAAACAGTGGAAGTATACATTGATGACATGGTCATGAAGACCAAAAAACCTGAGGATCATCTGGCCAACTTGAAGATAGTTTTTGACATCCTTAGAACATATCGACTCTGACTCAATTCTTCGAAATGTGCATTTGGAGTTAGATCTAGTAAGTTTTTGGGATACTTGGTTACAAGAAGGGGCATTAATGCAAGCCAGATCAAATTAAGGCCATCTTGGATTTGAAAAGCCTAACGTTGGCAAAACAAGTGCAGATGTTAACTGAAAGGGCTGCAGCCCTGAACAGATTTATAAGCATAAATTCAGATAAGTGTAAACCATTTTTCAGTTTGTTAAAAAAGGCCACAAATTTCTTGTGGACAGAGGAATGTGAAGTCGCCTTGGCCGACTTGAAAAGATACTTGACCACAACTCTAGTTCTCTTAAATCCATCACCTGGAGAGGAACTGTTCTTATACTTGGCGGTTTCGGAGCATGTAGTAAGTGCAGTGGTAATCAGAGAGGAGAAGGGAGAACAAATGGCAGTATATTATGTGAGTAAAATCCTTGCAGGCGCAGATACCAGGTATTTACCCTTGGAGAAATTGACATTGGCCTTAATGATGGCCTCTAAGAAGTTGAACCATTATTTTCAAGCCCACAGGATTATGGCATTAACTGAGCACCCCTTGAAATCCCTGCTACAACAAGGAGATCTAACAAGCAGGGTAGCCAGATGGGCAATAGTATTGGGCCAATACGACCTGGAATTTAGGTCTAGAACAGCAATTAAGGGCTAAGTTCTGGCCGACTTCGTGGCCGAGTTCACACCTGGAGCCATCCCACATCGGGATCTGATGAGCCACGGTTTTGGATGTCCAAGGGAACAAGAAGAGACCTAGCTGGGAATGAAAAACCCCACAGTAGAGCAA